TAAAGTCACAAGTTTCATATCTTTTCAGTATTTTTGTTTAATAAAACATCTAACATTTAATACACATTTTTGTGTACAATGATATTTCACACTGAGTTTAGAGAAATACATTGTAGTGGAAATACAAATATTGCCAGGATTGTCTCAATACACCAGAATGTATTGCAGTGGAGTGGCCATAGATTATATGCACTGTTTATTAAGCTATTTGTGAGACTGTCCGGCCAGTCTCTGCTTCCTGGGTCAACTTTGTTTCCATTTGTCAGATACTGAGCCCTTGTATTATACTTGGTATGACCTTTTTATTTAACATAGAAAACCTTTAAAGGAATATTGTTGCTGAATTCTGTTGACTTCTGCAGCTAGAGATGGAATCTTAAAAAACTTTTCTGGTTTTGGATGACAATGCAATGCATGTCTAGTTTTTTAATGGACCATTTACAAATGAGTCTGCAATTGTACCATGTACCTGGTTCCCAATTTTATAACAGACTGGACGCAGGTTAAGTACCTGGAAAACAACCCAAACCACGTATCCAAATAGTTCTAAATATAGTTTCCCACCGCTGAGTTCATCACTCGGTTGATTCACAGACCCTTCCATCAACACAATTTGAATAATTTCCAAGTGTGGAAACTCCACTAATCCACAGCCAGCTTCCTTGGCAGCAGCGTGTGGGTTCCAGCATTTAGTTTTGTCTTTCTATTATCGACAATTACTGAATGTATTAACATAAATCAGTTTTGGTTGTTCCCTCATATGCCAGTAAGTAAATGGATTGCCTACAATTCATGCATGTACTGTAAACACCAACACCCCTAGTTGTATATTGCTTCCTCTTAGGCTGCAGGTGTTTTTTGAATATTTTGAATTGCCCTAATTTGAATGAGCGCTATGTGACAGTTGTGTAGCAGTAAAAGTATTCAGCAGTGATCAGCTCCACAACAACTTCACTCCCGGGGCGGTACAGAAGAGTGAGCTTCAAACTAGTTTAGTTTTTTGTATTTTAAGTGAAGACCAGTGGGACGTCAGTGTTGACGTAATGTTCGCCCGACTGCCTTGGTGATACTGATGACTGCCAGTGAAGGTGTTTATTTCACACAACACACACCTCAATGGCTTTCTTCTTCGAGGCTGCATGTGTTATTCGTTCTCTCCTTTCCCCCAACAATGGTAAGTCTGAAGTAAGACGTGGTGGTGATGTATATTTGATTAAATATCTGTGATATTTTTAGCATTGACTATTGTTGCTTTCTTAAAAGAAACAATGAGATTTTTGATAAATGATCATAAGGAGTCACTCCTTATGATCATTTATCAAAAACAACACTCAGTGTGGATATAATGACTAATTGGGTAAAAACAACTAAAACTGTCAGGTAAATTAAATTACAACTTTTCTGTAATGGCTCCTTTTGAAACCAGGAAAAGACAACACTTACAGCATATTACTACATCAAGACAGTGTCTTATCTCATATGACGATATAGATCTAATATTAATATTGCCTTTCCCTAATCAGAGCACCCTTGTATTTGACTACACTTCCCCTGGCCTCTGGACACATGTGAGCATGTGGGTCGATCTTGACAGCCTAATGGAGGTCCACTTCACTGTGGTGTATTTGCCAAACCGTCGCTGTATTGATTTCTCAAAAGGATCTTCCTCGGTCAATCCTTCCTCGGTCAATCCTTTTACTTGTCATTATCGTCTCTTTAATCACATGTCATGTTGAGCTTGTCCCTCTTTCATCCCTGTGAAAAGCGTGTTTGGGGAACGCTCTATTGAGCAGTAAAAACACGTTGGGGCCGATTGGATCCTCGCACAGAAAGATTCCCTCTGCATTGACTGATGTGCGGTATTGATTGAACTGTTTGTCACGCACAGATCTGGTAGGGTGACTGACGGAGGCAGCAAACATTTGGACCTGACAGGAGTGTGTGCAGAAAGACATTTGCATGTGTGGATTAATACACAATGAGTGTTGTGACTGCTGATGTGTGACGTTATAGTGACATCAGAGCTTCTTGTCTGGGAAAACCTGTCTTATTGAACTAAATACATTTGAAACAAAGCGAGGAAGAACAGCTTTGTAGCACACCGACTTTAATGTTATATTTAGAGATGATTGGGAGCAGCGTTTAATAAGGATTGTAGAACAACAGTGCTGTGACAGACTTATGTAGATGACAAACGGTGAAATAGTCTAGAGACTTGAGGGTGCACACATCCCTAAAGAGTCACATCTCAAGGGTCCAAAAAACCCACAAGACAACATTATAGGAACATATTTGGTGCTTATATCTAAACCAGAAATCTCATCACAACTCGAACATTAACAACAGGAACAATTTGTGCTTATGATCCTATTGCTAAACATTGAACTTAATACAGTTACTTGTCCTTCATGTATCAAAAACAAAAAAAGGACTCTTGTGCTCAAGCTGTTCCCTAAAGAGTTTTACTGCTGTCGATTTCCATTCTTCTCTATATACATCTGTTCCTCTTTGTTATCTGATGTGTCATCAGTTATAGTATCTACATCCTGCCCAATCAAATCTATAGACGTCTGTTCGACTCCAGAGAATTTCACCTGTAACCCCTTCCTTTTTTCAGTCAATGAGTAATAATAGATTAAGTAGTCAAACTGAGATCAGCTGACTTGAGTGTAAATACCTATCTGTGACCAAAATCTCAGCTTCAAGACATATTCAAAATCTGCCTTTTTCTTTTGTCTCTGCTTCTCTCTGTCCTGCTTTAATATTGCTAATATGACATAATTGGCAGAAATAATGACCAAAGTGCAAGCAAAGTGATTCATTCAAACGCACAATTACCAAGATGATTCAGTTTAACCGATAAACACTCAATGCATACAAGGCTGACAGTACTTGGATAAGGCAACTATAAGTAAGAGAGTGTGCCCTGCTCACTGCTGTGACTCTGTTCTCCATGATGAACTCTTCTCAGCACAGACTGTATTTATGAATCATTTCTGCTGCCTATTATTACTTCTGCAAATAAAAAACGAATAATGGCATAAATTATTTTCAAAAAAAGGGAACAGATCCTTTTGCATATTTGTAAGGATGCTCTATTATTGCAAAATCAGAATAATTTCTATTTTGGTTAGCATTGATAGCTCCAAATTGAGATGGCGATTATTACATATCGTCTCTGGAAAAAAACCGGTATTTTGTACATTTCAAGAGTAAAGTTAAACTTTGACGGTAAAATGAAGAGGCTAGATCTATGAATAACTTTTTTTTGACACCCTGAGGATAGTTATCGCCGGGAGAGAGGTTCTAAAATGATCCTCCTCCCACATTAAGCAGCAGAATCATATTGAATTGAATATGAATGTGTTTAATCACCCGGCCTTATGTTGTTGCGTGTGTTATTTTCAGTTTTCTCATGCTTACATACACTCGCCCATCTTTGGCAGATTGGGACAAACTCGCCTGTCAAGAGGCCAGAAGGTGTGCAGAATAGTCAGAGAGGGAACAGATGGACAAGAGGCAGAGAGAGAGAGAGAGAGACACACACACACACACACACACACACACACACACACACACACACACACACACACACACACACACACACACGCTTACTTGGATATTGGGAGGGCAGATCTTTTTTATGGCATGAACCCAGCACAGTGGGACAACTGACCTCACCTCAGTATTTTAACCCCGTCCTCACATCCACGTCTCATGTTCTGCTCATGTCATCTCGCAGCTCTTCAGCACTGTTTTCTTCGCACGCTTCACTAAGTGTGCTAAGACCCAAGTGTACACTTTGCCCAACAGCTACACATAAACCATATGGTAGCTAACAGATGGATGGAATGTTCTGATTGGCAGGTGGGCGGTGCAGTGACTGGGTTACGATGGGTGACAGACGGCTGCCTGTCGGCCACTTTAGGCAACCATTAGCATTAGCTTGATGATGTGTGTTGTTGTCCCCCCCTTTGACCCCTGCTTTTATTTTGCAATTAGGTCCTGTTTGTGGCTTATTGAGTTGTCTAGGAATCATTTAGAAAAAAATGTCTGCTACTTTAAAGTAAAAAGCGTATGAATCCACTACTTTACAGACAGTCAGTGAGGCTCAGCGATGCCCCTCCCACATTATTAGCTTTTCAATCATTGTGTTCTGCTTATTTTTTTTTACAACTGTTTAAATTATTTTAATAATGGTTACACTCGCTTTGGTGCATGCACTTCTCCTATTTCAAGCTCATACATAATAATTTGTGCTTTATCGGATAGATTGACAGGATTTCTATCCAATCAGGGAACAAAATGAACATCCTGGACAATATGTGATTATTGTTCTTGTAGTGGACTCAAAGGGCATATTTCATCGTTGTCTGTGGATAAACATTAGCAATCATTTTTGTTCCTTTCCTGTGATGTTTTACCTTCACAATAATCAGTAAAATGTGGACAGTGTCAGTGTGTTACTATGGAAACATAGAGTAACTATTTCCAACAGTACTTGATGTGTTATTATTAGCGACTAAAACAAAACAAGTTGTTCATCTCCTAAAACCTAAAGATTGAGATACATATAGACAATATTAAACCTAAATATTAAAGTCACATGTAGAGTCCTTAGTTCAGCCATGCTCGAATGTTTCATTCTCTTGTTTCTGTTGCATGTTATTGGTTCGTTTATGAAATCAAGCTTCAACAGTCCACTTGTATTTTATGTTGTCCCATTTTAATTCTTCTTTTATCCAAGAATCATCACATGCCGTCTGCATCTATTAATTAAATCTTCAGAAATCTCATCTTTTGTATCACCCATTCCTTGTGTTCTTGTGTGCAGCACCAAAATAAGTGGTGGGTAAAGAGAGAATTCAATGCTTGCAAATTTCTCTGAAGAAGTACTAGAGATTGTTATCATGAGTGGTGTCTGTGAGTCACTGGATCTAGCAGGCCTTGTTTTCTGGTGAAATGCTAATAATGTCTCTGTCTGTTTCTCTGTCCTGCAGACTTTAACTACAACACAGACGGCTACGAGGGAGACGGAGCGGAGGACGGCAAGTCTCAGGACGGCTCGGAGACTCTGCCCTTCATAGATGAGTCTCCCACCATGTCGCCACAGTTGTGCGCACCCCAAGGGCCCGACGGAGAGGCCGTCTCCCCCACTCCACCAGAGAGCCTGCTGGCAGGGGTAAGAGCCCAGACACATGGCATGGACATGCTTATTTAAAGGAAGAAGGGACACATCAGTTGCAGCGCTCTTACTTCCACAAACCATTCACTTATTCACTCCTGCTGAGTTTCTTAAATAGAATATGTAAAAAGCCCGAAGGTAGTTTATTAATATCCTAATTTATTATCCTGAATTCCTACACTACAGAGAAGTGTATATCATTTTTCCATTGGGCAGTGTTGTCATGGTGTTCATTCATTTAGGTTCTTAACTTGAGATTGAACCATAAATGTTTACATGCAGTCAAGTCTTAATTTAAAAACAATAACGTAGAGGATTTTATTATCATAGTAGATAAAATGCCATTTACCCAAGCTAAGGATGATTAAACATTGTAGCCGTACACCATTCACCAACCATTTCATTTGTATCTATATGTACCAGCATATTTATGACACTATAAACCTACTGGTCTTAACAAAAAGATACAAGTAAACCTTTCCTATAAACTGAAACCAAACTAAAATAGTCAAATATAAAATGAATAATCAAATTGAAAACTGTTATAACTTGGTGTTGATGGAAGTGTTGTATTCAGATATAAAACGTTTTTAATTCAAACTTGCCTTTCATAACCTTTGTATGAAAAAAAAATCAATACACTGACCTTTGAATCATAGTATCCAAACTCAAAGGTTTAAAAATATCTATAGAAAGTGAAATATTAGTTTGAAAATAAATTATTCTTACAGGCATTGCAATTTCCTTAAAGTCTCTAATTTCTCTCATTGTTCCATCCTGTTAGGAGTATATATAATACAGTCAAAGCTGACGTGTCATCAGGCACATTTTCCTCCTTGTTATTAATAGCGGTGGGTTTCTCCCTCCAGTTAGCCGCCGGATCTAGACCCTGTGTAATTGTTAGCGATTAGCCCCAACAGCTAGACTGCCTGCAGCGCACTGCAGGTGGTGCATTGACAGCAGCAGGAAATGACCACTGACCCACATGGGGTCTGACGGCACCAGCACTGATCTGCCAGTCTGTGCATGGAAGCAGAATATGTTCCAGGACCGTGTTTATTCACAAAGGTGTCATTAGTGAATTAGTCAGTGTTAAAAAGACAAGGTCCCTTTTTATGTTTTTCTATTCAGTTAATAGCTGTCAATTACATTCTGTAGGTGGCACTATTTTCTCTGTTTAATCCATCACAGGGGCTATCCCTGGGTGTGTGAACAAGAGGAAAAGGCGTCCTCTGTTTATGACAAATAAACCGTTGCTGCAGGAAATATTAAACTTACTGATTTGTGTGGACTTTTCCAGTGAGGTTCCACAGACACCAGACATGAAGCTGACACACAAAAGCTTTCATGAAATTGACTGTGACTTGTGTGTCTGACTGTGAGGGGGGG